ATGTATGTATGTATGTATGTATGTATGTATGTATGTATGTATGTATGTATGTATGTATGTATGTGATCGCATATTTTGATCTCAAGGCCTACAAAAACTATAAAGCCGAAACTTTGGCAACTTAGTTTATTCCTATGCTGAGGGACCCTAGGCATAAAATGGAAGTTCTCATGTACGGGCAGTTCTCACGTGATTTTTTTTTTTTTTTTGAAGGAAAGCGTTTTCGGAACCACGCAAACTAAAAGGCTACAACTTTATGAGGATGTTTCTAGCTCAAGTGTGGTCCGAAAAATTTAAATTCAGCCTTCATGCATGCCCAGATGTCCCATATACATATGTAAGAGTTAAGATTGGCATCGCGCCAATACGGAATTAGACTAAGCAGAAAACGGTATTGAGGTGTAATTTTAAGACTTGTTTACCGTCGACTGGCATGCTCGCGGAAGTGAACTAAGCTTTCGCGCTCTTCCGTATCACACGTATCGGCACGTAAAATATGACGCACACAGTTCTGTGCCTTCGGAACTAAAGTAGCTAGAAAACTGAAATTTTCTGAGCATGGCCGACGTCCAGACGTCCGGAAGAGTGAACATAACAAAAAACTCCATATTCCTTATTTGTTTCTCACATACGAATAAGTAAAATTTGATATAACTCTGCAACCAAAGCAACTACTGTGCTTATCTCTTGTTCGTTTTTTTTATATGGAAACTGCGAAAATAAAGACCATATTCGTGAATTTGATGCGTGTATTTGTTTAGCAACAAGTATCATCCTTATAATTGCCTGCATTAGCAATAATAATTCCGCGGAAAATAGTGCAAAAACGTATCTTCGCAGCGATAGTCGGTGCGGTGTTAACTAGGTTTTATGATCTTCTTCCCCCTCCCCTCCCCCCCTTCCCCTCGCCCCGCCCTTGCTCAACAAGACCATGGGAAAAAGGCAAAAAAATCTAAACAGAAAAAATCTTTTGGCAAAAAAGTAAGATACCGTGTATGTTCAAATAAACTCAATGATAACTTTACCGACTGTGATAAATTCAACGATGATAAGCTTGTCTATGCCCTATAACTACCCCAACTACGAAATGCAATTTATGATTTGTAAGAAGAGGTGCGAGTTTTTTAGAACAATGAATAAGTGAGCAGACGGGATGATGTAAGAGAGACGGAGAAATTTCCACAGTGTAAAAAATCCACATCGGCTAAATGAAATCTATGCCTAAAGTCGACTAGGATGAGCTTCTCGGATGATTAATTTTCGGTTAATTTACGCAAGCGATGCATTAATTAAAGGAATAAACCAGTGGATTCTTAAAATTCGAAGATTTTTTCAGACTTTTTTCCTACTTTTCTAGAAAGATGTAGTCTGTTCCTAACTCGTGATAACTTATGTTTTTTTTTTCAGAAGACGGCCTTTTAAATAACAGTTGTTTACAGGCACTTTTTCATGCAGTTACGTGGACAGGAAATTTCTCATTTAGGGATTTCTCATTCAGGGATTCTCATTTCGATACAAGTTGAAGTTTGGAAGTTGAAGTTGTCTTGATAAATGTGCGGGGTAGCGATGGGCCGTTAATTCGTCGATTCGCACAAATGAACAAATCCCGCTCTCAGCTGAAGGGGTGGCATAATGTGGAACCTCCTTCTTTCTTCCCTATTCCCCCCCCCCTATGAGGGACAGTACTTCAAAGTTTGATGCAAAAACACATGATCGCATCGGCTCGCCTGGTGCGTTCCAGCCTTGGTATTAGTGATCACTGATAGACGTTTGCGTGAAAGCACGTATGCTTGTACATTATTCGAAACATCTTTACTCTTCCCCTTCCCTTTCCTTGCCCCCCCCCCTTTTTTTTTGCTATTCCCCAAATTTCGAAGGGATTACACGGTAGTGTATGTAGGTATGAATTTTTCAGCTATTAAATTTCGAGCTGCGGCACCATCAAAATAACGTGAAATTGAACAAAAAAACGTAAATCTTGTGTATATATAGCAGCATAGACAGTACTGGGATGGTATTTTGAACAACCAAGGCAATTCTGATTTTCGCTACGGAACGAATTTCCCATTAGCGTCCCAAAATTCACATTTATTTCATCTAAATAGCTCGTAAAATTTTGACTTTTTGTGGCTTTTTTTATAAAAATTAATGCTTGCCACATACATACCGGATGATGGCAGCGCAATAAGCCAGCTGAACATTGCCTTTTTCCATCCAGTCGTTATCTGCTGTGTGTCTATCCATTATCACTGCTCGTAGTAACATTTCTGTCATTTCAGCTGCCATGTGCACCGATTGTCCCGACCTAAAAAAAGTGGTACTTGATTTTTTTTTAAATCTTTTATCATAAAAGTGCAAAAAAAACCCCGGATGAAGAATGATGGCCACAGCAGCCGCAATGGAAAAGTCAGTCGACATTTCATGCCTTCCTACGGTGGAAAGTGTTTTGGAAATTTTTTGAAAAATGTAAACTATGAAAGTTTGTTTGGCACTGTAGGCCACAGTCGATGGAAGGGACACAATCGAATATCCCAAGAAAAATTGAAACTCAAGAAAAATCGTGTTTTGGAGAAACTCAAATGAAAATTATGGTATAAAAAAGAAAAAGGCACGGGACGAAAAGCACGCATTTTTGCGTGGAAAAGATACCTTGCTTTCCAGGATGTAATTAATTCTACTGCTTGTTTTAGTTCCGCTGTTTCATTGCTCCAATATAATTTCATTACAATGTCCCACTCGCGCCTGTAAGAAGTGCTCTTACTGGAAGTGCCATCTGCTTCATACGAGAGATCTACAGACTGTTTAAGAATTTTAAATGCTCCTGCCATGAATCACCACATCCTCAGAAAATCTTTTTCCCAGCTCAGTTAACTGTCGTAAAATCACTTTTTTCCCAAAAACGGCTTGACATGTTCATACACTGTGATAAGGGTGTACGCCAATGCTCACTTCACGTGTACAGACTCACACATATACAGCAAGTATTCTAATAAAGCAACAGCTTAATTCCAAGCTGGCATTTCGCAAAAATCGCAACTTTGACGTGTCCGTACCTATCACTTATGTGTAATGTCGAGCTGAATTTAAAATCCTTACCTCACATAAATAAACGCCCTTACGAAGTTCCAACTTCCGACCTTGTCTGGTTCTCGAAGTCGTTTATCCGTCAAAAAATAAAAAAAAAATCTTTTCAGCAGTCTACATATGAGATCCAAACGTAGGCGGCCGATAATTTCAAAGAGATGAAGCATCGTACACAGATGGGAACATCCTCCAGAAATTTCAACTTCCTAGCTTCATCAACTGCTGAGTTGAAAGTGGGTGACAAAAGTACGAACACACACGCACAAACACACACAAACACACACATACATACACATACAGAAAACATCTCGTCAGTATGCGTTTTTGCATTTGCATAAATGTGCAAAATGCATAAAATGTAACATGTTTATGACGTATATGAAGAACCATTAGCCTGTATTTCAACTTTTAGCCAAATGTAATACGTTAGGTGAAGCAACGCAACCAACCTGGTGAAAGGTACTTGAACGCCTTTGCCACCTGTCATCGCTCTACTGAAAACTTTGAAATCGCTCCTTCAACAATTTCATGCGTATTAATGTCATTAGACCTGAAAAGTGATCCGGTAGCAGCTGTCCCACGGTTTCAAGAGCAAGCCGTGTATGACCAGTTTCGAGAAAGTATTCTAACTTCTATCCTCGCTCCCCTTCTTTATCCCCTCCCCAAAGTAAAAGGCAGTACAGGTCTCAAAGGTCCTGTGAGGGAATGGAAGAGGGTGGTAACCAGGGCCAGGAACAACGGCCCATTCAGCGCAGGGTATCGACCGGCAAAGGTCGGACTAACTCTACATGCAATAGGAATAACCAGAGGTAGGACGATGGTCGTCCAGAATCCAATGAGTTAGTGAAGGAAAATAAAAAAGGTCGAGATTGTTGTGACGAATGCTACCTGCAAAGCAACATTTCAGCTCCTCTCCATCCCCACTATAACAAAACTATGGAGGCGAATACTATTTCCGCTCTTTTCCAACCTCGTGTATCAGCGGCAAAAAACTGTAGAGCATTATTCGTCTCCATTTCCATCTCCCCTCAACCCCCCTCCCCTCCCCCACTCCCAAATGTACATGACCTAGCCAACCGACAAGGAATCTACGCCATTTAATCATTAAACCCATCTGTCCCAGACCCCCCTTTCTTGCCCTGAACGAAACACCCAGCACACAATTCGTCCCTCCACTTGCCACATTCAAACTCTCGCCACTCACTGGTGGGGTAGCCCCACAGGTTATCATACAAAAATTCGTGTATGACGCCGACCAGACCAAGCCGAGTTCTAGTAACTGCCAAATTATTACACAAATCAACAACACAGGACGCACGGAAGCTACGTGAAGCGGACACTTCGAAAAAGCTCGGTCAATCAGACGTTGGTACATATATGTATTGATATCCTGAAGTGTGAAATTTCGGATCAAAACAACAATATTTTCATGAGTACAATCTTTTAGAGAAGTTGGGAATCCGTAGCACACAGACCGTATAGAAAAGCGTGAGAAATGCTTTGCTGTATAGACGGATTGCATTAGAAGAACCGTAAATACGAATGCTAAAGATTATTTTTGTCATAAATGAATCGAGAGATCCGAGAACTAACAATACGCTTCAGAAGCAAAAACAACA